AAGGTGAAAATATCTGCTCCTCTCATATATCTTATATTCTAGTGGATGATCTAAAATAGTAGGGCAAAGCAGACCATCCTAGAAAATAACAAGTATAGTGCCTTGCAAATGCAAGGACCCGAGTTTGATCCCAAGTACCCAAAAAACAAACAAACAAAAAACAAATACTAAGAATAAAATACAAAAGTAGGAAACATAGATAGGTAATACAGAATGGGGGTAAAAGTTACAGGGCAGTTAGAGTATATCTTTCGAGAAAATGACATGAGGGGAGCACATGAAGGAGAGACACATAGGAATATTTGAAGAAAGATCATTCTAGTAGAAGGAATAGCAACTTAAAGAGCTCTGTGTTAGGATTGCCTGATGTGTTCAAGGAAGAGCAAGGAGTGACTACAATGGGCCTGGAGTGAGGGGAAGAAGGTAGGAGATATGTTTGGAGGTGTATAATTTAAGAAGTGTCAAGACATGACTTCATTCTGAGTGAGACAGGGAACCCAACAGAGTTTTGGACAGAAGGATAGAGGAATCTGGTTCACATTGGTTGCTGAGTTGATAAACTACAGGGGAAAGAAGGGAGAAACAGGAGACCAACTGAGAGGCTACTAAAGCAAACAATCAGGCAAGAGATCATGGTAGTTTGGACCAGAGTAGTAGCTGAAACATTAAGAAGTGTCAGGATCCTGGATATTCTCTGAAGATGGAACTGATGGGACTCACTATCTTAATTATGAAACTAATACAGCATGAAAAAAAGAGAGCCATCAAGGATAACCTAAAGGATTTTAGCCTTAGTGACTGAAGAGCAGGAGCTGACATAAACAGAAAGGGAGTAAGTTGTAGCATTAGGATATTTTGTAGGAATGACCAGAAATTCAACTGGACATGATAAGCATAAAATACATTCTGAACATCTAAGACAAGATAGCAAGTGGGTAATTGGATGTATGAGTCACATTCAGGAGTGAATGACATAATTGAGAACTATTAGCTGATGGGAGGCATAAAAGCCTTGAAACTGGATGAACCATGCCAGGCATAAATGTGGATAGAGGAAAGAAGAGGTCTAGAGACCAGGCCCTGGACATTCAACCACTCAGAGATTGGGAAGATGAAGTGTGAATGTGTGTGTGTGGCGGGGGGGAATGGAGATAAGCATAGCATAAGATTTTGATTTCCTCAAAGTCTTCTCCCAGTCTTCTAAAATTGAAATCATTCTATTTTAAGCACCTATTGTAATTGTTGATTTTTGTTTTTTGATAGTAAACTGAATTTACCATGAAATGCTCAGATACTTGCATATCAATGATAGCACAAGATTCTAACATTCTTTTAAGCACTGTATAAAATCTTGCATCATTTTCAATCTTGTACTACAATTTAAATGAAGTCCATTTGCATTACATTTGCATTTTGTGTTCATCTCTTCAAAGAACCCATAAAAAACAGAAATCATGATATGATGGAGAGAAGTAGAAGCTAGTGTCCAGAAGAAAGACACATATTAGGGTGGAATAATTTTGTTAGCAAATATTTTCATGTTTTGGTGCCCTAAAAAATTCATTAATGAGTGTTAGGTGATAAAGACCACTTATTTTTGTTTTAGGTTTTTTTGTTGTTTTGTTTGTTTGTTTGTTTGTTTGTTTTTTGAGACAGGGTCTCACTATATAGTTGAGACTGACCTGGAACTCACTATGTAGCCCAGGGTGGTCTCGAATTTACAGCGTCCTCCTACCTCAGCCTCCCAAGTGCTAGGATTACAGGCATGCACCACCACACCTGGCTAAGACCACTTATATATGTATCAAATTACTAGCAATGTCTCCAAATTGTAAAGGATTCATATATATTAATGGTTTCCTTTTATAAAGGAAATAAGTGACTGTCCTAGACACAAGTGAAGTGAAAATATATGTCCAAACAAAACCTATGTGATTAGATGGAGAAACATAAAGTGGAAACAGCTCAAAGGTTGGTAAGTTGTGAATATATAAAAGTATTATGATTGGTAAGTGTGCACAGATCTTGGCAAGCAGTGGTGAGGACCAGAGCAGCACAGCTTCAGGCAGATCCAGGAAGGGCCCTGCCCTGATCCCAGTGGCTTGGGCACACTAGGTAGCCAAAAGCCTGCCCAGAAAAGCACTGCACAGGGGCACAAGCATCAGCCAGAGGTCCACCCCATACTATTGATAAGTGCACAGAGACTGTAGCCTGAAGCCTGCTCAGACACCAGGGACTGGGATGAACAGGCCACAGCCATAGGCCCTCCCAGACAGCAGCTACATAGGGGGCAGGCCCTTTCCAGAGGCATGCCTAGATATCATTGCAAGTATACACACACCCCAGCCAGAAACCTGCCTAGACAACAGGTCAGCTCAGGGATCCAGGAGGCAGCCATTCTGAACACAGGAATTGGTACACTGGTGAGTAGCAGAGAAAAGGCCTGTTGATGGCTTGCTGAGAATTGAAGACCACTGGCTTGAGCAAAAAGTTGCCTCAACAAAGGCAAAGCAGGCTGCATCTGTTGAAATGAGAAGACATAAAAACAAGTTCCAAAACCAGACTTCCAGATCACCTAAGGCAACACCAAAGGGAAACAAGATGGAACAATCTGATACTCAACCACCTGGACTCACTGAACTGGCAACAAAAGAGGATCTAGAAAAAATGAAATCAGAAATAATTTCTCAGATAACAACAGAGATTGTGCCCATAGTGCAAGACATGATTGACACATGTAGAGCAGGCACAGATTAAAATGAAAAAGAGGAGCTGAGAAACATGATGGAATCCCAACATAGGTGTGGCGGCCCAGCCATCACAACACAAATGTACCTGAGTTGGGGAGTGAGGATTGAGAAAGGAAAGAACACTCAAGCCTGAGTGGAGACCAAGAGAAGTATGGTTTATTTCTACAGAAACAACTTTCCTTAAAGGCACATTAACAGGAAGCATCAAGCAATCATCTCCATCATTTCTTATGCAAAAACAGGAATTCCTGATTTCTACAGATACCACCAAATCTTTGGCTATCTCTTTGAGTTACTCCCATCACAGGGTCAAAGAACAAATAAGCTTAACAAACAGAGTCCTTGAAAGGTAACAAATGTTACATAGCTTGTATCAATGCCTTCATTGTAGAGGAAGAAGTTTCCTTTCAAATGTCAAATGCCAGACAGCCACGGTGAGCTCCCACAATTCCCTCTTTTTTATTATTTTAGAGCAGGGAGCTTCCTAGCTCAGCAGAAAGACTGTGCCTGTCTTAGGTGAGAAATGTCCAGAGAAATCCCTTACCCGTCATCAAGCCATGAGAAGTTTAATACTCATGCTCTGTCTTAGATTGGATATTTCTCCACAATTCTCTTACCCGTCTTTGACTACCAGCCTCTACAGGGGTTATACCATGGGTTGTGAAGGCTTGACATGTAGCTTTCTCTACCTCTATCAACATTTGTAAACCTTGATCTTCATGCCAGGACTCATTAAATTTTTACAGGCATTGTTACCAAGGGAGGTTGACTCAAAACCATCACATACTGAAAGGAAGTCATCATTTCTGAAAAATATACAATCGGTTAACTTATAACTAAAATAGCTGTTATATTCATTATCAGTTTCATTTACAATCTCTATATTTTTTTACTAATAACATATAAGGAGCATTAACACAACACATTATATTAGAGGCACCTATGCCAACAATATTGAAACTAAGGCTAGTAACTTTGACATCTGACCATAAACATATTTCTCCCAATGCAGCAGCAAAATTTCAAATGTTGATTTGAGGAAAATGTGAATCTGTCCACCAAAGTCCAGCAGAAAGGCTAAGACTAGCAAATTAACTCTTTGATGTAGTGTTAATTAAAGACCAATCGAGGAATGTCCTTTTTGTCCCAGAAAAACTTCTCAATGTAGCAGTCTCATTTTCTTTATAACATAGAAACACTACTTTATAAATGACCAAGTATATTTGTATTATTCACCAGTACTGGCACTTCATGTGAATCAGATGAGACAGGATGTGTGAGGAGAGGATCTGGCATACAAATCCAATTTTCTTGAGGATTGGCATCACATCTTGGAGGAACTGACATCAGCAGGAGTATCCACATGATGAATCAGCCTTTC